TGTGGCATACTCTGTGTGTTCTCTTGATTGTTGAGTTGTTGTGTCTTGTTTGTTTAGTTAAATTTACCCCTCGTCACCTAAGTATCAATTTCAATTGGTATCAGAGCTTTAGCTCTTAACACAAATAGAGAGATCCTAGGATTTGTTTTGGTGTTTAGGTGTACTCATTATGGAAAGGGATCGAGTTCCTGGATCTTGCAACTCACCACCTTATTTTGACGGAAATAACTATGCTGCATGGAGAGAAAAATTTGAGATATTTCTTGATGCTCTTGATGAGTATGCAAGTGTGTATCTCACAAAAGAGTGGATTGCTCCAGTCAAGACTGTTGAGGGTGAAGTTGTGCCCAAGCCTAGGTCTGAATGGACTGAAGCAGAGGTGTTTGCTGCATATGCAAACAAGAAGGCCAGAAATAGTGAAGTTGTGCCCAATCCTAGGTCTGAATGGACTGAAGCAGAGGTGTTTGAAGCATATGCAAACAAGAAGGCCAGAAATGCCTTAGTTACAGCTTTGTCTAGCACACAGTTTGCACATATACAACACATCCCAAATGCTAAAAAGGCTTGGGATAAACTAAGGGTGGTTCATGAAGGGGATGACCAAGTTAGAACCTTAAAACTTCAGATGGTGCTTGCACAATTTGAAGAACTTAGGATGTCTGAAACTGAGTCTATTTCTGAGTTCTATGGGAGAATGGAAATGATCACAAATGAAGCCATGAGTCTTGGTCAACCTATTCAAGAGCTTCTTGTTGTTCAGAAAATTCTTCGTGTTCTACCATCTAGATTTAGAGCAAAGAAAACCGCAATCATGGAGGTCCAAAACTTAAATGAAATTAAGCTTGGCAAGCTTGTAGGAAAATTAAAAACCTATGAGATGGAGTTGAATATGGAAGAAAATGACACTAAAAAATCAAAAAGTGTTGCACTTCAAGGAGTGCATGTTTCTTCTCTGAAAGGTGGTGAAAAATCCTCAGATTTTGAGGATGAAATGGCCTTGTTTGTCAAAAAATTTAGGAGAATTCTTAAGGATAAGGGAAAGTTTGCTAGAGAGGGTAGCTCTGGTAGTGAGAGACAGTTTAGACCATCAACTGATCGGTCTAATGAGAGGAACAAGGATGTCAAACCTTTTACTAAAGACTTTAGAAAATCTGTCAAGTGCTTCACATGTGGAGGCATTGGTCACTATGCTGCTGACTGTGCAAACAATCAGAAAAAAATACTCCAAAGGAAAGGACAAGGCCATGAAAGTGAGTTGGAGTGAGAGTGAAAGTGAAGTGTCTTAAGAGGATTCATCTTCCTCTGATAATGAAGACCAACAGGTTGCCTTCATTGCCTCTGTGCAGCCTGTGTATGATGATTCTGATTTTGAGTCTGATGACCTGTCATACGAGTCATTAGGAAGAAAATATGATTGCTTGTTCAAAGAGACTTTTTCCTTGAAAGAAGAGAGTCTTAAACTTGAGGCCAATAACCAAGAACTTCATCATGACCTTCTCATCTTAAAAGAAACCAAAAAGGAGTTGAGTGACAAATTTGAGTCTCTAGAAAAAGAAATTGCTGCACTTGTGTCAATTAGGAGTAATCTTGAAAATCAAGTTAATGTGCTCAAGGAGAGTAACATTGGGTTCCTGAACTCAAACAAACAGCTCCTAGGTGAATTGAATGAAGCAAAAAGTAAGATTATATCTATGACCATTGGTGCCACAAAAATTGACAAAATGTTGAATATGGGAAAACTTCATGGGGACAAAGGTGGTCTTGGATTTAATCTTTTTGATTCTAAGTCTTCCAGCTCTACCATTAAGTTTGTCAAGTCAAAAACTCCAGCCATTGCACCTCTTGATGTTCAGCAGGTAGTCAAAAAACCTAAGTTTGTTCCAACTTGTCATAGGTGTGGGTTGACTGGTCATATTAGACCAGTCTGTCATATGTACAAAAAGGATAAGACCAGAAAATTGTCTTCAAAATCTAAAAGGAATCTCAGATCTTTGCAAGATCAGGTTGATCATTTGCTAAATGAAGTCACTAAGATTGCCAAACTTGTCTCCCTTAAAATAAGTTCACCTATTGTTCCTAGGTCTACTTGGATTACAAAAAGTCATGCCAAATGTCTTGTTGTGCTAAATGCTTTTGCTGCTTCAAACATCAATTCTTGGTACTTTGATAGTGGCTGTTCCAAACACATGTCTGGTGATAGGAGTGTTTTCTCTTCTCTCAGTCCTTTTGATGGAGGCACTGTGACTTTTGGTGGAGGTCACAAGTCTCAAGTTGTGGGGAAAGGTACTGTTTGTATCCCTGGTTTACCCGAGCTTAAGAATGTTAGATTTGTTGAGGGTCTCACATCCAATCTCATTAGTGTAAGTCAGCTGTGTGATGATGGAATAGTAGAAGTTAGATACTCCAAGCATGGCTGCAAAATCATTGGAAAAGGTGGCAATGAGATTGTGAGTATGTCAAGGTCTAGGGACAATTGTTATTGCATTGATGGAGTCAATGATGCAAAAGAAGTAGTTTGCAACAAGGTTGTGAATGAAACAAGTGTCTTGTGGCATCAAAGACTTGGTCATGTGAACTTTAGAGACTTGCATAAATTGTCCAAGAGAGAGTTAGTGAGTGGTCTACCAAAGCTTGACAAATCTGATCAGCATGTTTGTGAAGGATGTCAAATGGGTAAGCAAGTTAGAGTGTCACACAAAAAGGTCAAACACATTCAAACACATGTAAGTCTTGAACTTGTTCATATGGACCTTGTTGGTGTTTGTGCCTAATAAATCACGGCCATGAGCTGGCCGAAGGAGCCCCTTTTCTCGACCCTGGCACTTGCTCGTAAAACTGGAACGCAGCGTTTCAACAGGGTGCTTTGCCTTCCAGACGTGGAAATTCTCACAAGAATTCTGGCAGCTTGAGATATTAGGTCACCAGCTATCAAGGCCATAAATGCGTCTCCACGGCCAGAAGCTCAGAACCCACGATCAGGGCGGCAGTCGAGATTCACTAGGATTTATGGGGTCACATCACCATACTTCACGATCCCAAATGTCGATTAGACTACCCACTTGCTCTAATTAGGCTCCAGCATGCGGATTTTCAGCCTCGAGTACTTCTCCAAGAACTCTTCCTATAAATACGAGGCTCAAGCTACATTTAAAGGGTTCAAAA